CGACCTTTGCCTGCATAGGCAAATGTATGGGCAAATATAGAGCACCATATTTGCCCAACATTTGCCAAGCGGACATATGATGACCAAATCCATTATTTCGTCGAGTGTGGATTCACGCTAACAAAGACCAATTTACAAAACAGGAAGTTTTAACTTGAAGCGCATTTGGGCGCCGATTCGAAGGCTGAGTGGCATCATTTTTTGTTGACTTGACTGTATTTTATTTAGATTAGCCATAATTGAAATCCTGTTAGGACAGGACGTTTCTGATCAGTTAATTGCCGCGGCTTTCTTACTTCTGGGTCGTGTTGAAAAAATTGACCTTTCTGGGCCTAGAATGTAATATACCGACTATAAAGCGTGCACAACTGATTGAGTTCCTGTTCAAACATGATTTTGTGTTGCTATGGATACGTAGAGTCGTATCGCAATGATGGTATGATAAATATACTTTCTCTGTGGCCACAGGGTTTTTGGCTAGCACAATTGGTAATGTTCCAACTGCTGTACATAGGTTTCACAGTTTTAGTCTGCTGAACTATGACCAGAAACTTTGATGCAATATGCGTACAAAGCTACGATAACTGATACAGATATTTCAGAGGGATAATAAGAGATGACCAGGCCATTGTTAGTGCCCCTCTACCAACTATGGCTAAAACTTCCCGTCAAAATGCAGCTAGTCTCATGAAAAAGCCCTGCATTATTGATCATGTTATTTTACTCTCAAAAGAGGATTTGCACCATTATGCAATGACAGCCACAACAGGAGGCAGAAACAATCAAATCCGGTCTAAACTGGTTTACACAAGAAAGAATTTAGCTTCCCAGGCCAGTGAGGGGAAAAAAGACTATAATCATTGTGTCTCCTGTCATGGCTGCCACCATGTGACGTTGCAAAGCCTTTATACAGTGGTTTGTCCAACAGGATTTTCATGTACACCTTTTTTTGATATGATCTATAGTGAAAAAAGTAAGTCATATTCCAAGTAAGTCTCACAATGCTGTTGCATTATTTTATTGTGTTCATAATTTATTGGCTTCACCAAGTAAGAAAGATATGTCTTTTGCAAGTCAGGGAAGCCATAACAAAAACGTGCTAAAACGTTTTGAACTGCTTACAGAAAACTTTCACATTAAGAAAAGATACAGGCAAGGTCCAGAAGGTGTGTCTGCTTATAGAGGTACCACTGTATTAACTCTAAAACAAACCTCTATACAGTAGACACCCCATTATTAAGCAGACACCAGACAAGTTCCTGCACAGGGAACCCGGCTATATTTTTTTGCTTCTTTTAGAAAAGTAACTTGGCTATTTTATGCAAATTATTAATGGTTGGTAACGCACTCCCTAGTAAACACTCAAAAGAAAGTGCGTTACACACCACAGGCAACCCATAAGAAACAAAACACCAACGGTTATTGATTTGAATTTAATTGGCTATCAGTTTACAGGGCCGATCTGATTACAGCGCAGATCTGATTACAGCTTATGTAAAAGGAAACCGATCACAACACAGGAAACCCACAAAGAGCAAAGTTACTTTTCTAAAAGAAGCAAAAAAATATAGCCGGGTTCCCTGTGGTTCCTGAAGGTGTCCTCCTAATAGAGGTACACTGTATTTACTGTAATAACAAACCTCAATACAACAAGATGAAAACGGTTCTGAGTATGGAAAGCATCGTTATAAATCCAAGTTTTGGATAAAAGACGAGGAGATGTAGAATTACAATATTTCGACTTYATTCAAGTCATACTCGTGTGTGAAAAAACCTCAATACAGCATACTCCTTTTATTAAATGGACAACAAGCAAGGTCCTGAAGGAGCATCTGCTTAATAGAGATACCGCTGTATAATAAAATAACCTTGCTGTACACTCTCTCAGAGAATTAAGCTCAAAGGGAAAAACATAATGGCTGGTCAGTTGTCTCTCATGATAACCAGCCAAATTAGTTTATGCTCAGTGAGTCATACCCCCTTTCTGGCTCAACACTACTGGTTAAAATGACCAGCAAGGCAAAGAATCATTTACCTGGATAAGCTCTGGCTGGACATTGTCCAATGACTGGCAAATAATTCTTAGCCCTGTTGTCATTATCATATCTCTTTTACACTTTCATCACTTTCTGGGTGCCATCACTGAATGTGGCAAAGGAAAGTTGTCAGCCTTATTACTAAATATGTTACACTTATACCCAAGCCCTACAGCCTGTGTGTGCATATTAAATTTTTAAATCAACAACAACATGCATGCTGGTGATGAACAAGAAATTAAATGGTGTAACAACTAAAACTCTTTAACTAAAACCGAGGTAAAAAGTGTGTTTTGTGGTCCTGAGACAACGATATTCCCTGAGGCAAATCCAAGGAAAACATCTCCATAGAGGGACCACAAAACAGACAACTTTCCTGAGGTTCCAGTCAATTAGTGAAGAGAGAGAACTTGACTTTGAAGTGCTTGGTACATAATTTAAAAAATAGTATTTTAAAGTGGTCAAATATTCTTTTAAATAATGACAAAATATACATTTTAGACCTTTGAAAGCCTAGAAAAATATAAATTTCTAAACTCTACTCAAAAACAAGTCCACTGCCTGTCATCATACAGTAAGCAAAATAATTCAAATTTCATAACAAAACTATTCCCCTCAGAATTAAGCAATTTCCATGTTTCCACTTCCTTGACATCCATCTACATCGTTCCTTTCGTTATATTTGTCAATATTGTTATCATTTTAATATTTTTTTAAATTAATGGACACCAAAAAATCCAAGATATCAAGGTTACATACAGAACCATGAAAATGGCAAACTTTGAAAACCTCCACATAGTGTTGCTGAAGCCTTTTCACAGTGTTGCTATCAGAGTTCCAAGGCAGGTGTAAATGCATGGCCATGTACTTGCTTGGAATACTTGTCCATTATACTGTGATGCTAATTGCTTTAATCTGGCTGAACTGGCCAGAGCCATGAAGTCCACGAACATGTACATACTGTCTTTTAAATCAATTTGTTGGCATTATTGGCATATATATACTTATACTTGCTAATCACAGAACACCATCATTGTTTTTCTACCACAAGCTTTTGGTGTTTATACATTGCGTTGAGAGTAGCCTGTGAATAAAAACCATGGAAAATTTGTTACCAAACAAGGCCCTGTTACATGTTGAAACTTGAGTGTAACAGCATTGCGAGACAAGTTTCAGGTCCAGAACAAATTCCAACAATGTAACACTCCCAGCTCTGTGAAACTTTTGTTACAAGAAGTGCTTTCTACTCTTGCAAATGTAACACCCCTCTTTTCTTCAACATGCCCCAGTGAGCAATATAATCTGAGCCCAGCATTGCCAGTAAGCAGACAAGATAAACAAGGTGGTTGATAGTGGTTTCACAAAAATATTGCCCTGTGTAACACTCGAGTGAAACTCTCCTCAAAACGCTGTTACAAACGAGTTTCAGCTAAAAGTTTCAACATGTAAAAGGGCCTAAAGTGTCAAGATCATCGGGAATCTATTACTATTAATGGACAAAATGGTGATTTTGTTTTGTTCCAGAATAAAAAAAGCTAACTATGTGCCATGTCTTTTGTCAGCATTTGAACCTATTACATGTACTTACAGTATTGCAATAATTATTACAATTGCATATCATCATCACCACAAATTAAAGTGCTTACTGCAATTCTTAATATTCTGCAACATCAGAAATCAACAGCTTGTTCAATTAAGGAATTGTTTTTTTTTTTTTTGCTCCAGTCAACCAAAACTAATCATTTAGCACCTTTTGTATTTTTAATTGACTGGCTACAGTGAAAAACCAAATTCCAACAGGCAGCTCTCAACCACCAAATTTGCAGAATATTAAGAATCACAGTAAAAAAACTTTTAAGTAACTATATATATGCACTTACTTGTCTTTTTACAATTTCTAAATTCATTTGTGCTTTCTCTATTAACTGGCCTATATCTTCTGTATTGATGATATCTTTATTGCTTTTAAAACCATCTCTTGTTCTTCGTAAAGCATATTCCCTTGTGAAAAATGTAGAGCATAAGTAACAATGCAATAACTATGATGTTAAGGACCATTATATGATATATGTCTAGGGGGATTTTTAAAAAAATCAAAAAATAGAATCGAAGGGTGGTCGAATATTTTTTTTACAAAGGAGGACCTATCTCGATATTGCCCTGTTAAAAAATGGTCCACTTTTCTGGAAGAGTGAGACATGCAAATGAGCCCCATTTGCTGTAGCCTCACAATGATGTGATAATTACTATAACATAGCCACGATATAATGCACGCTCTGATTGAAAAATTAGCAAGCACGAGCCTGCATCCAAAAATCGATTGTGCACACTGACGTTAGTTGAGTAGCACACACTAAGTAATGGAGATTTCGTTAGGAAAAAAAATTTGAATTTATCTCGATTAACAAAGATTTTTTGTGCTTTTGCTATGTTATAAGAGCATTGTTTATCAATTAGTGTGCATCCATCAAGTTTTGGGTGCACTTGGTCAGTTGCTTAAGCACTCAAAAAGCTAGAGTCACACTCAGCTACACCTCCTGCGACTCTTACACTTCCTTCATGCTTAGCAACCTCCTGCATGCACCCAAAAATCAATGGAAGCACGCTAATCAATCACCAATCCTTTAACAACAAAAATATTCATTACAGCCACAGATAGCATACCAGTGGAATGTTGCCGGGTGATGTATGGAAAATATGTTTCAATTGTTCGTTGATGTGTAAATTCCTTTCATTACTGCGGACTGTAGTCAAATTCTAAAGAATAATTACACGCTGACGAGGCTGAGGTTGAGTAACGGGATCCGTGAAATGGCCTATTGATGCATGAGCTACACATACACGCATGTCATTGCATAACAAGGATTGCTATTCTTGTTTACACAAGATTTAATGATAATGATATTCCTGTACTTCCAATATATTAGAATGCTTCCTACGTAAGTGCATAGATTGATTTTTCTTACATGATCGATCAGCAAAATTCAAATAAAACCACTTCAGTTTTACAAACGAGAAAAATAACACGTGCATATTTACGTGACGGTGAATTTTGCCTCTGTCCAAAATGAAGATATGCAAGATGACAAGTAAGAATAAAATCAAGAATATAAGCTCTTAAAGATCATGTACAACTTATCATTACCTATAATTATAATCGCTGAACTTCTGACCCTCTCTCAATAACTGACGATACAACTTTAGCACCCTCGACCTCGCCGCCATCTTGGAAAATGAACTGGCAATGCATTCTGGGATGGAGGTAAAACGAAATTCGTGAGCGTAACAATCAAATAACAGCTTGGGTGAGTTAAGAAGGAAAAAAACCTTCTGTGAAAGTAAAGCTAGTTTTTATTTATTTATTTTTCCTTCTTTCTATCATCGTTTGAAATGTTATCTGTTTTTCTGCTGGGTTTTGAATGAATTATAAAAGTATTCTAAATTCAAAAAACAAATGTGTCCATAATTCGTATTTAAGCAATCAAATCAATTAGAAAACCTACAGCTATAAAGCGAATTAAATTGTTTTCAGATTTTTCAAAGATGGGATCCTTAATTTCTATTTTCCCACCCCTCCCTCCCTTAGTATCAAGTACCCATAATGCATCAGTGCGAAAGCATTTCGCGGGCTCAGTTCCACGAATATAAACAGAGACTGAGTTCTCGTTCCATGACTCAGCTTTTTATATAAAATTTAAATCAAAATTTAGGATTACATCCTAATGAGAATGTTGTTGGGAATCAATAGACTGTTATTTGTTGTCACTTTTGTTGGATTTGGTTTAACCAGGTAAGAATAAATGACATTTTATGCTTTGTATTTGACGGTAAAATCCGCACTTCCTTATCAGTCTGGATAGGGGAACTTTCCTCTTTGAAAACATGGAATTCTCACTAATGAATGTGATATAAAGTTTTTCTATAGTATTTGTGGTATGATTATTTGAAAGTATGAAAAAAACTACACTTTGAGTCAAAAGGTTTAGATATTTTCTTGCCACAGGAATCCCAACGCATTGTGTGAATGCGAAACCGAAAAATATATAATGCTTCTTGGGATTCCCTTGGGTAATAATCCGCTCCAAACTCCCCACCCCCACCCCCACCCCACTCAAAAAAATAGGCAAAAAGAATTTGAGGAGGCAGTTTTTAAGACTATTAGATTTTATTTCACATTCATTTCAAGGGGAAACAATGTTAGTCACAGATTGATTGAGTTGGTATCCTACTGTAGTAGTAAAGGAACCACTCAGAACAGACAATTGCTTATATTCTATTGTAGTCTATATTTAATAACAGATAAATAGACCTTTCCTGAGTAAAATACAGTAAATGTATGTTTTTACACACCAAGTCTAACCTTGACTGGGAGCCATTGTTTTATGGTCGCAACTTCATGAAAAGTCTATTATATTAGCAGTTCCATGGTTGGGGGGAAAACTGTGTCAAGTTGGCATTACATACAGTGCATTTTGGGACTGTTTTAGGGGACATTTCCAAGATAGCATCTAACATCCACTAAAACAGCCCCACAATGTACTATAATGACAACTTGACCCATTTCCCCCCTCAAACTTGGAATGGCTAATAGTAATCTTGCTTTTATACAGTATGAGTGTGTGCCTTTCTGGCGTAGAGAGTTTTAAGGATGAAATGGTTATGATATTTCATTACTGTTATAGTCTTCAAAGTGCTCAATATGGAGATAGTTTCATGGAAGACCTTGAAGATGCCATGAAAGATGAAAATGGTGAAAAACCCAAAATAATTTTGAATAAAGAGGTATTGTATTGTAGAAGTCTAAGTTTTTAGAGCAAACTCTCTAAATTTGAGGGATGCCAAAAAAAAAAAAATAAACAGATAACCTAAAGATAAACATGTTTTAATCACAAAGAATTATCTAACATATACACCTAATTGAAAAAAACGTAGTCGGGTTCAAGAAGATCATATCATCAAAGCTAAGACCTAAAAGGATTTTGGGTACTCCGAAATGTGTATTATATTAAATTGCATGTAGACATGTAAAAATGCACAGTAGAGCAAAGTTGGTCAACCTAGACGATGCATAAAATGTGCACAGGAAGGGAAAACTGCAATATGCATGAAATTAGCATAATTGTTTGTCTTCCCATGCTACCCTTCAGTCTTAGCTTTTGATGATATAACCTTATTTTGAACCTGACAACGTTTTTTCAATTAGGTTTATACAGCTCTTGATTTTATCATCAAATAATTTTTATGTAGTGTTTAATAATTGAGCAGTGTTTTATCAGGATTTAAGGACACAAGGCATAGCTGAGTGTTTTTAGATCTGATAAAACACGATCTGCGAGTTTATTGAACGGCTTAAGAAACATATGATGTATGTTCTCATATATTGTACTGAATTCTTTACGAAATGAACCAAGTTTGATAGAGAAAATCCAAGTTAAAGTTTATGCGAATGAAGACAAATCTATATCAAATATAAAACCTCCTTCATGGTCATGATTTCTATTGTGTTTCCTTCATGAATTATTAATGAGTTTTTGAAGTTGATTTTTTACGGAGAGAGGAAACCTGGAGGACCTAGCAAAAAACCCTTATACTGTAGCTTAGGGGAGAAAAACACATCAAAAACTTGAGTCCCCTAATGTTGTCTATAATTTGATTCACAGGAGATGGCCTTATATGATCGTGACAAAGATGGCCATCTCAACCACAAGGAAATGGAACATTATATGAATGATGTTGTGGTAAGGTTTAAAGTTGGGATATTATTTTTAATGGCTGGGGGTAAGGAAAGCATATAGCTTCCAATCATTTTCCTCTTAAGTTATCGTACAGTATACGTGTATAACCTACAGTAAGTGACCAGGTTAAAACATACCATCTAGACCTTGCTCACCATCATGAGCTCCCAGTAAAGAAGCTGGGTGGTTAGAGTGTCTGACTGGCAAACATTGGTCACTGGTTTGAATCCCACCTGGAGTTTAGATTTTTTCTGAAAAAAAGAATTAGATTCTTTATAAAACTTTTTTATATTTTTAATTTTAAGACAGTTTATGAAGGCATAATTGAACCTTATCTTTTATTTCCTTAAAGGAAGAAATTTATAATCACCATTACCTGATATGTTTATAGCAAACTGTGTATAAGAAGAAAGAAACAAAACAGAAAAAGAATTCCAGCACCAAGAAAAGCTACCTGCCAAAATTTCTTGCAAGGCTTAATTTTAGAGAAATTGGTATAGCTTTGGTGACAATAGCCCTTGTTATTGTTGGATGTTGCATCTTTGTTAGAAGAAGAAAAGGATCAAATGGATCAAGAAAAGGTAAAAAAAGCTCTTTTGAGAATGCTGCATTTTCTGGGTTCCCTGTGGCTAACCAGTCTTAAAGTGCGTTGCGTTTCTCCATGTATGTCTTTTTTATATCAGTCAGAAAATGCCAAAATTGCGCACTAGAGCCCAGGGGTCTTTACGGCACTACCTAAGACTCCTTTGTGGGCATATGATACAGAGATCGATCCAGTGTATAGTGTGATCTTATTGCCATGTGACAGTAATTGCCAATCGATTGTCACTAAATTATTAATTAAAGTGATTGATTGAGGGTGGGTCTATAATGGGAAAACATTATACCATGACAAGTAAGGTCTATTCGTGACAAATAAATTAGATTGATAAAATAATTCATAAAATAAGAGAGTTTCATCAGGGTATGCATCAAAAGGTTTCTAATTGTGTTAATGGTATTTATAGGAGTACCTGTTGAAGATCTGCGAGCAGCTCGTCTTCGCAGACTTGCCACAGAGGACTCTGCCACTAAAAGAGAAGAGCAAAATGTTTCTATTAAATCACCAAAAAATATAAATTCCAGGAAAGTTAAACAGACACCAAGAACAATTGATCCTGTTAATGATGATGATGAGTCAACTGATGCTGATGATTTTGAAATGAGTCATAAAAACCTAGAAAAGAAAAAAATGGTCGAAAAACTGGACATCTTGAGCCAATCAGAAAGCATAAAGCACAGGACTGTCAAGCACATTTCAACCAGTCAACCATCCACTGCCAACCAGCCAATCAAATCAATTAATACACAAGCCGCAAAATCCACAGCAACTACCAATAGTGTGGCTGCAACTATTCCGAATGGTAAAGATGTTATTTCTAAGCAGTCTAACAAGAAGGTTGAGCTGGAGTTACAAACAGGTGAGGAAAGTACTTTGTAGTTTTAGGATAGATACATGTGCAGACAGGTTGAGAATGTTAGCATTCCACACATGAAAAATGTGTGTAGTACTGTAGACTAGTGTACTACACAAATACGCATATACATACATGTAAGGAGTTACTGCATGCACTACATGCATTTGTTCATATAGTCACTGGCTGCAGAAATATCACATATGGACATGTTAACATCCCCATGAGCTGTACTGTGGGTTAGGCACATAACATTTTTATGTTCACAGTTGATTATTATTTGCCTTTGAGCCAATCATTGATCAATTTTTGAATGGGTTACATGTACCATGGAACTTAGTCCTTTGCCAGCTTTTACTCCACACTTCAAGTTACTGATGATTATTTATAAATTGAATTCAGTGTTATTTATAAAATGCTTTTTATCCATTCATTTCTTATTTTATAGGCTCCAAGAAAGTGTCATGTCCTGCACCTGTCAAGGTACATCTTTGATAATAGCAGTAGGATTTATCTACAAGGCTAGACATTATCTTAATTTAATGTATACCCTCAAAGATGTATGCAGTATAACAAACTTGTCTACTGGTACATTTCATATGTTACTCTTATTTGGGCCGTTCTAGCTATAAATTAAGGATGTTGCCCATCCACATCTTACAAAAATGCACCCTGCAAATCATTACTGTTTGTAGCAGATGTTAAATAGTGCTCATGCATTATGCAATGTTATAAAATAGCTGTTATAAATCTCGCATTCTGATTGGTTGGGAGAAAGTGCTTTATGAGAGCACACAGCACACATGGGCCCTTTGGATTTTATAAAAGAAATAAAAAACTTGCTTGCTGTGCTGTGTGGAGTTATAAAAGCACTTGGGGATTGGCAGAACACGAGAGAAGTGTTTGGAGAAGCATGACGCATGCTTTATAAGTTGTATTTTCCACTGGCTGAGGAACAAAATAAGTGGAAAATGTTTTCTCACACCACTTGAGCCTGGGCTGAGGGATATTAGTCACGTTGTCAGTGTTTTCATCAGTTGCTTTTTCGCTGTCCGCCATGACTGTTTAGTTAGCCCCACAGTACTCCCCCCCCCCCCCCNACAATTATTCACGTCTCTATCATTGCAAGCTAACCGTTTGCCTCGCTTCGATGCAAATGTACCATACATAAAGTACCATCATGATACGACTAAAGCCTCGCAATCAAGTTTGAGAACGTGACCAATTCCAATATGAAGCGAAGGCGTGGTTTTTGTGTCCGTATCGATCAGAGATGTTCTTTGCAAGTTTCTCTCCACCCCACCCACCCCACCCTTACAGATGACAGCATAGGCCCATTCACGTCACACCATATAATATGTACATTAACTCTCATTAGTTAGCCTCACAGTACCCCCCCCCCCCCCCCCCCCCCCCCCCCCCCCAACCCTAGGCCAGCATTGCTGGAAGGACTTTAGAGTAGTTTTTCATGGAAACCACGTTGCCATGATAAGAATAATGTATTACAGTAATGCATATGTTGAGTAAAAATAAAGAAGTCAGTTGGCGGCGGTCAGCTGGACAATAGCTCCCAGTGGTATGTGAGAACTGCACACAGCATGCTTGTGGGTTTTCTATTAATTTCTTCAATGATTCCTTTTCTTTTCTAGGTTGAGCTTCCATATAGTCAGGCAGTAAAACTAGTATTGAGCCAAGTCCTTGATTGCACTTTGGTAAGTTCATTTTAACCTTCTCTTAGTATACCAAGCTTGGCAATGCTTTTTTTAAAGGGAAAATATTTGGCTTGAGGTGATGCCATATGGACCGAGCGCTGACCTAACTCGGGCAATCAGCATTTTATCATAAATATAAAAGATATCTTAAAAGTTGCAAATTATGTTAATACGGTCGCAGGTTTCAAGCAGGGCCATATGGATTCATACGCCCTGCTCGCTCAAAGCCATACGGTCCTGCTCACGCCATTTTCCCGAAGGTTTTTGTAAGCACACGCCCGGGCAGATACGGGTCATATGATAATGAATATTATTATAATGGATAATAAAATTCTGTATTTTTGATAATAATTAGTTAACAATAATTATTGTTATTTACAGGAAATAAATGAGTCACTGTCTTCATTAAGAGTGAGTTTATCATATTAAATGTTTTGGTTATGGTATATAAATGAGTAAGACCAAGAATCATTTGATCTATAGCCCGCCATCACATAATATGATTTTAATCATGATTTTAATAATGTAATATTCCATGAGGAGCTTTATGTAACTTAGGATTTCCCTGCGTGATATCTATGATGTCCTCCTAGCTACTCGCATTACAGTTAACTAGGTTGTGGTTTCATAACTTTACACACTGTATTAACCTTTGCTTCCAAATGCAATCAACATTGAAAGATATCTCACTTGCAGTTCTGATAAATTGGAAAATTTATTATCGCAATTGAGTATGCTTTTCTTGTTGCTAACGATATTAAATTATAAGCAGGAGTTATCAATCTGAATCTAAAATAATACCGGTAGTTCAAAGTTGGGTATTCACATAGTTTGAAACATATGCTACAAGTCCTCTGATAATTTAGACAAAGCATAATTGTAGAATTCGGATTGTCTCTCTATCATAGGCAGCCAAAGGGTTTATGCATGTAGCTGCAGTATTTTGATTTGTTGAACTGAAAAAAACCATCAAGTTGACAGCTAGCAAAATAAGGTGTTGCTACTTATAATGCCCTTAGTTAAAAGTTAGATTCCAGCCAAACCATGCTCAGGGTTCGTAACATTTGTTATTGTTAACTTGGGCTCAAGTTAGTGGGACACCAAAATCTTAACTGGTATAAAGCTCCTCATGGTAGACAGTTTAAGTGCAATATCTCACTTCACGGTTTTGCCCTTTTGTTTTTGTTGTGATTGTTGTTGTTGTTGTTGGGTCATTGTCATTGTTGTTGTTGTTGTTGTTGTTCCTGGTGGGGGTGTTGTTGGTGTTGTTGGTGATGGTGTTGTTGGTGTTTTGTTCCTGGTGGGGATGTTGTTGGTATTGTTGTTCCTAGTGGGGATGTTGTTGGTGTTGTTGGTGATGTTGTTGTTGCTGCTGAAGGTGTTGCAGTTGCTGCTAGTGTTGGTGATGGTGTTGTTGGTGTTGTTATCATATTCTATTAATTATATTAATTAGAATGTCAATTCTTTCATTTGCTTATTTTCTTAATTATGAAGTAATTAGTTTTTAGTGTTATCTGACAATCATTTTCCTTAGACTCTGCCATTATCACCAGTAAACACACTGTCAATAAAACTTCAGCTGCAGTCACATGAGCTACCCAAAACGAAAGAAAACATGAACATGGTAAATGTTATACGTCAAGTAGTTTTAGATCAAGCCACAAGTTACATAAAAAAAGTCATCACTGAGCCATTAAGGCTCATATGAACAATGCTTAACTTTGCTTTTTATAGTCTGTTATGGAGTGAGGTGGGGTTGGCTGAGGTGAGGTTAGGGGAGGTGAGACCTGTGGGGTTGGCTGAGGTGAGGTGAGGTGAGGTGAGGTGAGGTGAGGTGAGGTGAGGTGAGGAGAGGAGAGGAGAGAGGAGAGGAAGATTTTTTAACACTATGCTTTGCTGCTTCCAGAAGCACCCACAGTATATATAAACAGCAGTTATATTTTGCACGTAAATTATGAATCACATGAATCTCTACTTTTCAGTTTCTTTAGGTTTTAATAAATCGAATTTTAAAACTTTTCTTACCTTGCACAGGCTCATTAGTAAATACACAAGCAAAGAGAATGGATGAAGCTACTTGTAGCCCAAGACCAGTTGCAGTCGCAGTGACTAAAGGCCATGAAGTGCTTCCTTATCATGTCCTACTACACCGCTGTTCTGGAACATGTCATAATACTTCTCCCCATGTCAAAGCTTGCAACGTCAAGGATTCTGTGGAGATTGACCTTGAAGTCACGGATATCAACAACCAGAAAAAGATTGTTAAAGTGACTAACCATACCTCATGTCAGTGTAGCTGTAACTGCAAACCCAATGAGATAACTTTGAATTCTGACTCCTGCAAATGTCAGTGCATTGAGAACTGCGTGCCAGATCTTAAAGAACCTGTTTCAGCTGGAGCAAGAAAAAATGGTATGTTATTTTATAAAATATGCAAAGGATAGATGCATGGATAAGCTTAACTATTATGAATTGAGACTAACAATATGGTGGGGGGAGGGGAGGGGGTGAATAGGTCTGCAGATGTACAGATTTTGAAAATAATTGAAACCACATTACAGATCCAAAGTAAAATCACAGATCCAAATAGTCTTCAAAAATGAAGAGGCAAATATCAAATTCTGTTTGCACATTGGATCTTTTAAAAAATTCTCTCTGATGGACGGATTTGTGCATTAATCTTAATGGTTAATGATTTTGCATACTATTCTCAATCCTAATATGGTTCATGTTTCAAAATCAAAATAATAATCACCATGGGTTAATGTTTTCCTTTCATTGCAGTTTTCAATATTCTGCTAATTACAAGCTGTATGCTCAAATCTGGTTTTTGGCTGCTGTCAATCAAAAATTATCAGTCAGTACCTTTTATGTTCTTGACTGGCGGCAGTGAAAAAACAATTTCACAACAAACTATTTAAATGTCTGAGTTCACAGAATATGGAAAACAACAGTAATGTTGAATACTTAGACAAATTAAAAAAATCACCTTTCAAATTTCTACAGGATTATGATTTCATTTGCGTTTTCTCAATGAAAATACTTGTAATAATTCATAAAGCAGAAAACAAACCGGTCTATATCTACGTATTTATATATATGTATGTGTATACAGCCATTTGCAAAAATTATGGCCACTTCCATTAAATATACAAGTATATCAAAAGCATATCAAAAGTTATCGAATATCACCCCTGATTTTTTTTTTTTGAGTTGTCATAACTAGGGCTTTCTGAAAAAAATATCAAGAAAGATATCCCCCTGTGTCTGATATACTTTCGATATACCTGTATGTATATTTGAAACAGCCATAATTTTTGCAAATAGCTGTATGTATATATATATGTATGCATTRCTTTACTTTTGATTACTTACTAATTGAAATATTTTCTTTTTTTTCAGACGAGCAAAAAGCACCCATACCATACTTGATTGCAATAGTCGGTGTTGGTACTTTTGCTATAATTGTTTTTCTCTTTGATGCCATAATGTATTTCAAGGGGAAAGGATTCTTCCACTCCATTAGACATCATAACTGTTGCATCAGTAATCAGGAAAAGAATGAAGGTTCAATGCTTGAACAACAAGGTAAATTCTCATCTTTTTTTCCAGATGTTCAAAACCTGAGAATTAAGAAAATATATAAAATAAATAAATAAATAACATAAATAAATTGATTTGTCATTTTTACAAATCAGCTCTTCATCCACTGCGTTTACCACTCCTGGGTGGACGGCTTAATGAATTCCAAATGAAATTGATAAAATACACATATGAATGAAGGAACGAACGAACGAATGGATGAACAAACATAAGAATGAATGAACCAATTTTTACAAAGTAGATTTTCATCCACTGAATTCCAAATGAAATTTAGAATTCGATTTTTGTGGAGGGAGGAAAACTGGGAGAAAACCCATTAACCAACAAGTACACTGTATCTCTCCTCAAACATGACAATGAGTCGGGGAGTAAACCTGGGTCACCTAGTTGGGAGGTGAGCACTAGCACTGTTATGCCACCCGTGCTTGCTTCATAAAAGGTACAATCTTGCAACCCCACCCTTTTCCAACATTGAAGCATTGAAGCCCCCCCCCCCCNNNGGAGAGGAGAGGAGAGGAGAGGAGAGGAGAGAAGAGGAGAGGAGAGGAGAAGAGAGGTGAGGTGATATGAATGAACTACTGTAGTAATGTAAATGGAGACACTGTACAGGAGGGTAAAGTGAAGTGAGGTTTAGTTTGAAAACATAACTAGCTAAAAACTAGTGTGAGCTGCGTCGGTGTTTCTAATGAAAGAGTAATGATAAAAAGGGAAATTATACACCGTGAAAAGATGAAAAAACTTGCTGAGGTGTAGTTTTCAGAGAGAAAATAGGTAAGGTGAGGTGAGGCTAGAAGCTTATTAAAACTCTTTTAGTTATGATTAGGTAAGTGATACTAAAGTATTTGGTTTATTATTATCAAGTTTTTTTATCTGTCGATATTGATTTTTTTTTAGAAATTGCAAAATTTGCTATTGAAAAGAACTCACCTGGAGGTGGTAAGTAAATACTCCAATTATAATACCTTTTGTTACTAGTAGCTACATGTATACTTATAACTGTTCTCTCTTTTTTACTGTATCTGCCCTATTCTCCCATATCCTCATCTTCTTGAAACACAAGCTCCTAAACAATATTAACACATATTAAATTCATTAACATGTTTGTAAATTCGTTTTGATCCTCTTCTTAGGAACCAATGAAATTTGCTATCAAATGCTATGACAGATGCACACATTCCCCATGTAACGACCTGAAGAACACTGTGAATGGAGGGGAGACATGGAATGATGTTACTAGCGTCATTAAGCCTGAATGTGCACAGATCATATTAAAGCAGCTTGTGCCTGGTACAGTAATTGAATTCAATTTGTTTCTAGAATTTGCATCAAGAAAATTTGTTGTTGATGATGATTGAGATGGTGGTGTTTTTCATTGATTCTTGTTTAGCTATTGCAAGCCCAACACCAGATGATGAGGACTTGTGGTCAGATTTTCGGAATGCAAGTCATGCACAGGTATTGAGCCATTGTAATGTACATCCTTTTGACCAGTGATAAATGGTACATGTACAGTACATACATGATTTGTGAACACCTCTCACCACTACTGTACTGTATGGTCCTGGATTTTAATCAAGGACTTGTTACAGTGCAAATCAAAATAATGTGGACAAAATATTTGAAGAATGTTTCTTAACCAATCAGAAGCAACGATGTTATCTTTTCATTATCTTGTGGTTAGAAAGTCAATTCTGATTGGCCAAAGAGCAATAAAACATTCCTGGAATATTTCTAGGTGCCTATGGTTTTTTGATTAGCACTATATATTATTTATGCGTAGAAGTTACTTGTTGGTTCTCTTTTGTGCTTCAAGAGTTTTTTCTCTGGCTTTTCTTAAGTTTTTCTCCCATTGTAAAATCAACTTCTAAATTCCTAATTGAACAACGAATGAAGCCTTCAGGTTTTTTAGCAAATGCTAATTAATTGCTACCCTCATAAAACGACAAAAACCATCCTTCAATGTAAACTAACTTTCTGAATTCATCTGTAGGGTCCTTCCTACTATTTCCTCAACTGCCTCGCTGGCTGGTCTTCTGATGGTGCAGTAGTCTCAACTGAACTATTGACCATGCTTTTAGAGCAAGGCAAGAAGGAATTGGAGGTCAAGGAAACATTTGTAGGAATGGTATGAAGCTGTGTTATAATGATTATATTGATAACACTGTAGGCCACTGAATGACTGACAGACCTACAGTATGACTGACTGACTGACTGATTGACTTACCAACTGACTGATTGACTTACTCATTCACACTAACTGACTGAATTAATGAATAAATGACTGTCCGACTGACTGACTGACTGACCGACTGACTGACATAACAGACTGAATAAAAGATTAACTACTGATTGACTGCATGACTGACTGAATGACTTACTCATTCACACTGACTGACTAAATAACCAACTACTGACAGAGTGGCAGTCAGACCAATCAACAGACTAGCTGATCTACAGACAATGATTAACTCACGTCTCTCACACTGAATGAATGACCATCTGACCATCTGACCAACTGACTGACTGATTGACTGTGTGATTGACTGATTGACTGACTGAATGACTCACTCATTCACACTGACTGACCAACCTACTGATCAATTGGCTGACCAACCAACTGACAAACTGGCAGACAAACCAATAGACAGAACAATTGACCTACAGACGTTAATTAGTTAATAATAATATCTATTAATTGATAATTATTTATCAATAAGTTTATGTTAACCACTTCAGGTTTCTATAGCAGGGAAACACATCAGTTCATTGAAAAAGTAAGTAATACAATTACTTGTTTGGTTGTTTGAGGATGCATGCTTAATGAGGACATACCACATGTGCACATTGCTTAATTTGTTTGCGGATCCGAATTAAGAAGAGCCATTATTATTTGCATTTTGTAAAAGAAATGCAAAACTTGCCTGCTGTACTGTGTGCGGTCATGTTTCTTCATTTCATTAAATCATGCTTTTGTTTAATTGGTATGATATAATCATTTTGGGAGTTGTAAACTCATGACACGAGAAAAGCAAGCTTAGAAACATGAGGCATAGTAAAATCTTTCTCCAATTTTTGGTGGTTCTGTAGTACCCAGTGTGTGTGTACATGCGTGTTGTATGCAGTCATTAAGCACACTCAGAGGGAATGGAAGAACATGATAGAAGTGTTTGCAGAACACAATGCGTACTGATCTCTTAACAATCCAAGATTTCTCTTGTCTGTATACTCTTGTAGAGCTTATGATAGGTATAAACATTGTTCAAACATTTTCCACTGAAGATGGCAGAGGTATCTGCTGAAACATGTCTGCGTTAAAACTATAAAGTGTCGTGTATTTTTTAGACCATTATTTAAACACTTTATTTTTTACCCCATAGGCTGGATGAGATTGCCTTGCAGTCCAGTAGTTTGCTTAGAGGACTGGAGATCCTTATAAACCAGGTACACAAAGCTATTAGTTCTAGTTCTAAAAAAACTACTGCGGGGAGCGCAGGCAGTGTCCGCTGCCGTTCACCATTGTGGTCATGGTACTCAGACCCACTATCACTAATAGCTATCATTACAGTTGAGTCCGCAATGAGATATTCTTTTGTTTAAGAAACATACAACTGAGGCTATGGGGTCGATTCAATGCTTGTGTCTAATTGCATCTCAATTGCATACATCCATAATATCTGCAATCATTGTTGTTCTCAATTTTTTTTCTGCACTGGGCAAAAATACCAACCTTTTAATTTTTAATTCACTCTTTTATGGACCCTTAAAAGAGTAGTTATTGATTTCTCCATCCAACTTTATCAAAGATAATAATAACAACCATTAATATACTTCTTATGTTGTTGCGTGACTGCAGAAACATACAGTACAGTACAGACGTTCTTTAACGTAGCGGTGCTTTATCTGCGCACTAGGATTGAGAAAGCATTGTTCTTGCATTGTTATTGGACGTTGAATTTGCAACGTCCCCTGTGATTGGTTAGGTTTAGGGGCGGGATTGGGGAAAGGTCATTGTTTTCTATTGTTCTACAAATGTGCGCCCTCCAATAGGATCACATCTTGCAAATTCGTGAAGGACGACCCCCTTTTCTTGACGGTACGCACTCCGCGCACTTAAATTGGAAAAGCATTGTTCTTATGCGCTATATTTTTTGGACTGATGTCTTCAATTTTATTGTATTAGGGCACTATGCACAGTCTGTTCTTTCTCTTTCTTTCTAGCCACTCATGACAGAGTTTCTTGCTGACCATCTCGAGAAAGAAGTAAAAGACAGCATTGATATACTGGTGAGAGCGGTGGGGAACGAACTTTTTATCGCACTTTTGGATTCAAATTCAAAATCTAGACAAAATATACAGTAGCAACTTCGCAGACTATTTGAATTGTCAAATGAAATTATAGTTGCCTTGCGCAGCATCAAGAGTTGTATTACACTTTGCCCTGGGTTTTATCAGAAATGTGTAAAGGGTAGTTCTATCTCTGGTTCTATCTACAGTACATTTCATTTGAATTTATGCTCGCTCTGTACCTCGAGTTGCGTTACATTACGCATTACGCTTTTCGTTGCGTTATGTTTGGCCTTTGAAGCTGCGTTATATCGAGCCCTTCATTAATTTAGAATTGTAACATAATTTATCTTTTTTACTATTAAAAGCAAATCTGTCAAATGATTTACGGAAGTCAGGCATGTTCTTTACTAAGCTGGTCTGATTTTTTTTGTAGGAAATATTTTTCCAGGAAAAGTCTTTCCTTTCCGCTTTCCTGGCCATTACCACCTTAGAAGTACGAGTAAACGGCAAGTCTTTGGCATCAGAACCTTTTATCCAACTGCCTCATTTTCCTCGTGCTTTTCAAAGCGATGTCGAACGTGTCCAGGTACTGACCGTATCCTTTCTTTCTTTGTCTTTAATTTGTTCCTTTATCAAATCAAAATCAAACATTTGATAGTAGTGGAATTGTAAATTGGGGATGCATTACGATGCATGCCAAAATGAACCCAGACTTGCCGAGCTCAAAAGTACCTTTAGAAATTTTTTGGTACAATTCTTTTTCTCATCCCCCTTCAAGTTTCTCGGATTTGAATTAGTGCGCAACTCAATCAAATGGCATTTGTCATTAAAGTAGCACGAAATCATAACACGAAACATCACTATCGGTACATATTTTTTTAACCTGCATCCACTTGACAACATAGTTTGCCATTGCGAGTTTATGGTATAATTGCTTTGTTTCTTTGAATGTCTTAAATCAAGGTACCACCGAATGTACCCTGAGAGCAGAGGTTGTTTTTCTTCCCCTCGATAGGGCTGAGCGGCAGGACGGAGGGCAGAACGGAAGGCAGAAAAAGACCTTTGCAAGCAGGATACACTTAATAAATCTGTGTAAAGAGTAAATTTTTAATATTTTTCTTCGATATACAGAGTCAAATCCAAGATGGCATGCATTCCTGTCAGAATATCGTGCATAAAGGTATACGAAAAGTGTTGGCAAAGAATCAAGAAAGGTACAAAGGGGAGGTTTTAGTGTACTAGCTTGTCTTCATCACTAACGTCACAGATTAGTACCTTTTCCTCTTATGGCATCATCATCTTTGTCAACATCATCGTCATCATCATCATTGTTCATCATCATCATCTTCGTCGTCATCGTTTTCATAAATACCATCATCATCACCATCGTCACCATCATCATCATCATCACCATTGTCATGCTCACCACCTTCATCACCATGGTCATCATCATCATCGTCATAAAAAACTTACCCCTCATTAAGATGATATTACACAAGACGATTTTTAGCGCAATATCGTTGCGCTTAAAGTTGGTTTCGTTTAACATGGCGTGCGTGGCAACACAAATCGAAGGTCGTTCAAAAACCTGCAACAAAGTATCATAAAAATCGTAACTGCGCGCCATGTTACTCGAAGACAATTTTTCTCGTGTAACACCATCTTTACTCCATCTAGCACTTACGAACTTTTCCCATATTCAGTATTCTTGTTACTTGTTCTTCTCTAGTGCTTTGGCGTGGTTAGCAGCGGTTGTTACTGCCAATGACCTTCGTTCGGCTGGATTACTTAACGCTCACTATGATGAAGCTATTTCTTGTGATGGTAAGCAAAGCTTTTTTGTCAAAAAACATGTCCCGTCTCTGCAAACTGGCATTTCCAGTCCTAGCAGTTGTTGTTTGGAAAAAAAACAAACAAAACAAAACGAAACGAAACGAAACGAAACAAAACAAAACAAAACAAAACAAAACAAAACAAATTATTAACGGATTTCATTTCAAAGTCCGGATTAATGTTTTTAACGATCTAGCTTTTGAATCTTTTATTCCTTTGTGTTAGTTGTCTCAGTTTCTCTGTATTCACCAGGTTTCATGATGAATCTTTGCAATGTCCTACTTCAGCTCAGTGAGCCGTTTTTCATCAGCAAGGGTGACGATAAGATCGCTAATATCAGTCCTTCCTACTGCGTGTCTAATGCCTGTCGACTGGACCATGATAACGAACGAACACTAAGCGGCTGGAGTATTGGTACGTAACTTATCATCCTGCGGGACTTGACCCCAGGGTCCTATGCCTGTTTGACCAGTACACTAGAGTCCTCATGGTCTTGATTGAAATCGTTCTTTTTGTACGTGTTCAATTAAAAAAAATTTAGTGGGAAACAAGAGTGACGCGGCTTTTAGTGCACCGCCTTTTACCGCTTGTCGCACCCGCCATCATGTGAATAGAGTTGCTTATTGCGGTTGTCTCGTCTTCTGAGTCTTGAGGGGTTTCCTAGTCTGGTTTTTCTGTTTTCCTCACTCTTAAAAAATCAACTTCTAAATTTCAGTTCGGTTATGGCACGAGGCCCACTGGTTCGGTTAGTCACTGGCTATCAAGTGCTACCATCAGGAGGAGGGGGGGGGGGGGACAAAGATGATTTTTAACTGATTGGAATAACTGATGCGGAGCAAGTTCTCATAGTAGTAGTGATTGTGCTTTCAACATCTTTATCCTTTGCTTTTCGCGGGGTGGTGTATATATGCAGTACTGTACGTTTTTCTTTCTAACACTCATTTCTCATTCAATTGGTAGGTGCAGAAGGTGAAGAAAGTAAAAAGAAAACAGCTTTCTTTCTACCTGACGAATTAAAAGGTAAAACTGGAGAGAATAATACGAATGATTTCTCTCACACAATTAATCCACAATTTGAAAGCTCACCAGAAAATACGTACCAAAACATTCACTGTTCTATTTTCTTTTATATCCGCCTAATTTACAGCCATTCTCAATCACACGCGCCCTCTAGCGATTGTTTCTGTCGCGACGAAGAAGGTTTTAGTGGACGTCAATCAGAAGGCGTTTCCACAACATTGTCGGAAAACACAAAGCTATAAGGGCGCGTGCCTATAGAATGTCATGGAAACGCCTTGATTGACGTCCACCCAAAGCTTCTTCGTGATTGAGAATGACTTTAATGCATTTGATGCAAAACCATATTCTTTTTACAACAAATTCTCCAAATTAATCTACACAATAAAATGGTTTGTGCTTATGTGAAGAATTATAGGGGTGTCAGCGTAGTGAATGATACTTTGCTGAAGCATGGACAACCAACGTCTGGTATTTAACATTGTCATACTGAGCTTTTCCTGTATTTGCAGGGAAGTTTAATCTTAAAAGTGAAGTCTTCCACCTCACGCATCGTGCTCTCCATATCGGCCTTAGTAATACAATCAAACACTACAACAAATTGATCAGGTGAGACGTACATTATTACTACTGGTTTCATTGCATTTATTGACTTAGTGAATCACTTGTATGTTAACACATCGGACTAGAATACCGAGGACGTGGGTTCGATTCCCGCCAAGGGCATTTGATATTTTTCTCTTATTCTCTCTATTTCATTATACACACAGAACGCATAATTTATTACTACTATACTTGTATGTTATATTTCTTTGCATGGCAAACAGGAAACAGGGCTTGGGCAGAGTTCATTATTGCACGTTATTACGCGTGCACTACTTATCCCACAAGCAGGGCACACCCAGTCCCTCTTGCTCCATCACAAGTGAGTCACTTGTATGATATATTTCTTTGCATGGCAATCAGGAAACAGGGATTGGGCAGAGTTCATTATTGCACGTTATTACGTATACACTACTTATCCCACAAGCAGGGCACACCCAGTCCCTCTCGTTCCATCACTCGAGTGGTTTTCTTATCATTTTTTTATTTTATTTTATTTCTAAAGGCATTATATGCTTCAAAAGGAAATGTTGGAAGGCAAAGACAAGGAGAAGTATGAGCCTATTGTGGCGGTAAGGCGACTCTCTAATTTGTTTGTTTGTCATTCAGGTTTAATCTTTGTCTGCCAGTTTGTCTGTCAGTTTGTTTACTTTTTTCCGTTTGTTTGTTTATTTGTTTGTTTGTTTGTCTGTGGTCTTCGTTTGTCTCTCAGTCAGTTTGTTTGTCTATTTTTGACGGTTTATTTATTTGATTGTTTGTTTGTGTGTTTGTTTGTCTATCTTTCTGTTTGTTTGTCAGTACATTTTTTGTTTGTTTGACACCAAAAAACTAACTATATTTTAAAACTACCGGCAATTCCATTTGGGTGTCAATGCCAGAAAACTTACAAAAACGATAAACTGTTTCCATTCCTTTCCATTTCTTTTCCTTCTTTTCAGCTGTTTGTCTTACAGTGGAACACAGTTCTTCAAGACCCACAGTTTATGAGGCAGTGTTCAGAGTTCTACCTCACCAGTGCCGTATGGCTCATGAAACTACTGGAGAACTGCGCAGTCTCTACTGATGAGAAGGTATGTAAAGAAGGCAGTGTGCAAGATGCATTGGGCAGCCCAGGGAATTTGGTGGAAATGAAGTTTTCCCAAGGCCCAATAGACTTTCGCAAAGTCCACATCCCACTGCATATCTCTACTTCATTGCAATTTTTCTCTCTGCTCAAATAAAAAACTCCTCGGGAGACAAAAGAGGTTGCCTCCTT